CGTTGTTTTTTAGAGGAGAGGTGTCACGAGTGGGGTTTTTCGAACTCGAATCTTTGAGAGTTTGAACGTAGTACATGTTGGACGGGATTCGAGAGTTTGAAAGTTTGAAAAGTTTGGAGAATGAAGAGTTTGAAGTTTGAAAATTTGAGAGTTTCGAGTTCGAAAGCGGGCGCGAGTTTGGAGTTTGAAAATTTGAAACCCAGGAAGTTTGAAAGTTTGAAGCTTCGAAGATTGAAAGTTCGAAAGTTTGAAAAGGAGAAGGACCGCTGGAGACGCGTAGGGGTTCACAGAGCAGCCCTCAGGCTCGAGTTCGAAAGTTTGAGAGCTTGGAGTTTGAAAGTTTGAAACCCAGGAAGTTTGAAAGTTTGAAAGTTCGAAAGCTTCGAAGATTGAAATTTCCAAAATTTCAAGCTTTGGGGGGTTGCAGGTTTGAAGTTTTCAATTTCGACAGTTGAAAGTTTGAGAGCCGTGGAGTTCGAAAGTTTGAGATGTTCAAAGTTTGAGAGTTTGGGAGTTTGAAGGTTTGTAAGTTTGAAGAGTTTGAAGTTTGAATACATTGAAAGTTTGATTTTGAAACCATGTTGACGTCCTCATTTTAGGGTCTGGGCCCGGTAACTCCGAGTCCGATTCAATAGCCCGGGACCCCCCTGGGCGACAGGTAGTCCTGGATTTAGGAAGAGTATGAAGGGGGGGGGTTGTAGTTCTGGATTTAGGAAGACCATGGGGGGGCGGGGGGGGGGGCCGGGCTTGGAGTCTTCGGGGAACCCCACCGCTCTGTTTAGACTGCAAACGCCCCGCTCTGTTAAGCCGAGAAAAACTTAATGAAAGCGTCTCCCACTTCATACTTCACCAAAAACCAAGATTACGGGCCCCCCCAACCTCATACTTCGTCCAAATCCAAGACTTCGAGCCTCCCCCTTCCCCTTACAGTCTTCCTACAACCAAGATGTTAAGCCCCCCTTTCTCCAACACAGGCAAAGGAGAAAGCAACACGAGAACACTTCAGGGGTTTAAACGCGAAGAATTAAAATGAGTGATTAAGAAGCTGTGCAAATGGGGGTGCTCTCTTAAGATCCCCCTCCCCTGATACGTCGTCCAAATCTAAGACGTCGAGGCGTCCCCTTACAGTCTTCCTCAATCCATGACTTTAAGCCCCACCTTTCTCCAGCACACACAAAGGAGAAAGCAACACAAAAATGCTTCAGGGGGCTAAACGCAAAGAACAAAACTTAAGAATGAATGATTTGGAAGCTCTGAAAGGGGGGGGGGCTGCGCCCCCCCAACCCCCCAACTTGTTTTGGACTGCAAACTCCCTGCTCTGTTAAGCCGCGAAAAAAATAAAACGTAACCCCCTTCATACATCACCAAAAACCAGAGTACGAGCCCCGCCCCCTCATACTTCGTTCAAATCCAAGACTCGAGCCCCCCCAGTCTCCAACACACACAAGGGAGAAAGCACACGAAAACGCTTCAGGTGGATTAGAAGCGAAGAAGACATCATGAATCATGAGTGATTTTGAACCTCTGCAGATGAGGGAGGGGGCTCTGCGCCCCCCAACCCCCCCCTCCCCCCCGCCGCTTATTTTAGACTGCAAGCGTACTTCACCCAAAACCCCCCTTCTTTCATGAATGATGTGGAAACTCTGCAAATGGGGGGGGGTTCGCCCCCCCCCCAACCCCCCGCTGTTTTTAGACTGCAAACTTCCTGCTCTCTTAAGCCGCGTTTTCTCCAACACACACAAACGAAGAAAAACAGACGAAAACCCTTCAGGGGGGTTAAAGACGAAGAAAAGAGCATTATGATCATGAGTGATTTGGAAGGTGATTTGGAGGACTAGGTACTTCACCCAACCCCAGTGATTTGGAGGACTACATACTTCACCCAACCCCCTCTCTCATACTTCGCCCAGATCCAACACTACAAAGCCCCCCTATCATATTTCACCCATGAGCCCCTCGCCACCCCCCCCGAATAGTACCACTAGTCGCCGGGAAAAGTCTTCTCCAAGACACACAAAGGAGAAAGCCACACGAAAACGCATCGGGGGGTTAAAAGCGAAAATAATATTCATGTTGGGTGGTTCGGAAGCTTTGCAAACGGAGGGGGAAGGGGGGGATGCGCTTTTAGACAGCAAACTCCCCGTTTGTTTAAGCCGCGAAGAAATGAACCAAAACGTCCTTTGGGCGTGCTTGAGATATACTAGAATCGCCAAAAGAGAAGGCGTGTGTAAGATGTAAAATTAACCGAAAGCGCCAAATGAGTAAGCGTAATACGACAATACGATGACCCGGAAAAGCTAAATGAGGGGTGTGCTTAAGATCGCCAACTCAAGGGGTGCGTTTAAGTTACACGGTGTGCTGGAATCGCCCAATGGGAGCGTAATTAAGATATGTGGTGAGGGGCTATGATGACCGGAATCGCAAAATGAGGGCGAAGTGAACCGGAATCGCCAACAAAGAAGGCGTGTTTGTTCAAGATACTTAATTGAGGTTGCGAACAACACCCATATACGTGACCGCATGTCGAGCGCTTTAAACTCTGAAACTTTTCAAACTCGAACTTTCAAACTGTCAAACTCTCGAACTTTCAAGCTCAAAACTCAGCGGACTTTCAAACTTTGCATCTCGAGGCGCTTCAAACCTTCAAACTTTGCAAACTTTCAATCTTTCGAACTCTCAAACTCGCGAACTTTCATCCCTTTCAAACTTTCGATCTCTGAAACTTTCAAACCTTCGAACATGAAACCTTTCGAAGTTTGAAACCTTCGAACTTTCAAACTCGTCACCTCAGCCCAAGCCGAAGAGGAAATCTGAAGCCAACCTTTCAAACTCCGAACTTTCGAACTTTCAAACTTTCGAACTTTGAAACTTTCGAGCTTTCAAACTTTCGAACGTTCGAACTTTCAAAGTTTGAAACCGTCGAACCTTCGAATTTGCAAACTTTCAAAGTCTTGAACTCTCAAACTTCGAAGGCCGATCGAACTCGCCCGCGGGAAAAGTTTGAAGTTTGAGTTTCAAGCAGCCAGTCGAGCTTGAAAGTTCGAGAGTTTGAAAGCTTGAAAGTTTGAAAGTTTCGAGTTCGAAAAGTTCGAAGTTTGACCGCGGCTAGCTTGTGCACACCAAGGTGCACAAACTTTCGAACTCCAGCACTTTTCGAACCTTCAAACCTTCAAAGTTTGAAACTTTCAAACTTCAACCTCCAAACTCTCAAACTTTCAAGCCTTCGAGTTCGAACGACCTCGCTCGCGACACCATTCTTGTTTTTTGGTGTCGTTGTCGACATCCTCGTCATCCTCGTCCTCGTCCTCGTCGTTGCCGTCGTGGTAGTTGTTCTTGTTGCTGTTGCTGGTGTTCTTGTTGTTGCTGTTGTTGTTGTGGTTGTCGTGGTGATTGCGGTTGTGGCTGTTGCTGCTGTTGTTGTTCTTGTTGTCAGACAGACGTGTTGCTGTTGGTGTTGCCATTGTTGTTGTTGCTGCTGTTGTTGTTGTTGTTCTTCTTGTTGTTGTTGCTGTTGCTGTTGCTGTTGTTGTTGTTATTGTTATTGTTATTGTTGTTGTTGTTGTCGTTGTTGTCGTTGTTGTCGTTGTTGTCGTCGGGTTGTTGTTGTTCTTGTTGTTGGTATTGTTGTTGTTGTTGTTGCTGCTGCTGTTGTTGTTGTTGTTGTTCTTGTTGTTGTTGTTGTTGTTGGTGGTGGTGGTGTTGTTGTTGTTGGTGGTGTTGTTGGTTGTTTGTTGTGTGTTGCTTGTTGCTTGTTGCTTGTTGCTAGTTGTGTTAGTTGTTAGTTGCTAGTTGCTAGTTGTTAGGTGTTAGTTGTTCGTTGCTAGTTGTTAGTTGTTGGTGTTAGCTGTTAGTTGTCAGCTGTTGGTTGTTATTTGTGAGTTGTTAGTTGTTTCTTGTTAATTGTTAGTTGTTTCCTGCTTATTGTTCCTTGTTTCTTGTTTGTTGTTTCTTGTTTGTTGTCTGTTCTTTCTTGTTTCTTGTTAGTTGTTTGTTGTTAGTTGTGTTAGATATGTAGTTGTTTGTTGTGAGTTGCTTGTTGTTTGTCACAGACAGACAGACGGACAGACAGACATGGATACTGCGGCCTGAAGGGTGCACGTCGCCCCGAAGGGCTGTCAGAAGCAGGAGAACCGCAGCGCAGTTGCGACTGGCTCTTTTTGTGTCTTGCAAGCCGAGTGCCTGCAGCACATTGCGTCCCCCTACAATGTGACAGGACCAGGAGAGACCAGGGGACCAGGGAACCAGGGACCAGGGGACCAGAGGACCAAAGGACCAGGGGACCAGGGACCATGGGACCAGACCTAGCAAGGCCCCCCAGACCGGACCAGACCTAGGAAAAAAAAACCGTGGACCCGTCGCGTTCAAACCCGCCAAAAAACGTTACGCATGTTTTTTTGGCCTGTGCCCCTGCAGTGGTGGGTTCGTTTCGCGCCCCGTGTGCCTGCACGGGCCCCAATAAAAACCTTGGGTGGCTCGGTCAACATGGAGCCTTAGACGCCTTTACCACACAGTCGATAACATGTCCTCTAATCTCGACAGACCACTCCTGATGTGCACACCACCCGAAACAAACCCTCCAGGATGAGGGCAGAAAAAAAACCGACGGGGGTAAAAAAAAACCCAGGCCTTAAACAATTCGCCAGTAGAAGGCGGTTCGCAGTTCGCGGCCTTTGAACGGTGGTCTGCTGCCGCCCTACTGCTTTTGTCGCCATTTCCTCTTTCACATGTCGCAGAGCAAGAAGAACTACAAGACTCCTGTGCAGGTAGACCGCATTCCCACAATTTTCCTGCTGTGTAATTATACGTAGTCTTTCTTGCTGTTTCGTGTGTCTCGGTCTCGGACGCCTGCCGTTTGGGCTGCTGCCATCAGCCGCTCGGTTGCAAGAACGCGTGATTAGACGGAATACTTCTGATCGGAAAGGTAGGGCAGCCGCTGGCATGAAACTTTGCTGCTAGCTCGTGAACGTGGCTTGTTGTTTCCAAGGCTTCTTCTTCTGCTTTCATTTGCTAAGCACTGCCCTCTTGGCCCTGCCTCGATCACTCACAGCGTAGGCGCGCTCTGGTGCCATGACCCTTTCCTGCAGAGAGCTGAGAGCTGCTGCCCTGGCTGCCCTTCCCTGTGACACTCTGAGCCATGTCGCAAAACGGCGCCTGGCCTGGTCCCACGAGGCCAGGTCTTGCTGGGGGAGGAAGCGCGGCTCACGACAGAAATTTCGACCACGGGCAGCGCCTGAAAGAGAGAGAGGGAGAGGGGAGGGAGGGACGGAGAAGCCTTGCCAGGGCACGCATCAGTCTACGCTTTCGTCCTCGTCTCGCCTGCGAGAAACGGACGTCGTCCATCTAGCTGCAGGTTGTATCGCACAGTGGCCCGTCCGCCATCCAGAGCTGCGTGAAAGCCAGAACCACGCTCATTGCATGGCGAGGGCAGCTGGTGGTGAAGCAGGTTCACCTGCAAAGTGCAATATGTGCAAGGAGCGGTACCGCTGCAGTCTTGCCCACGGGAAGCCAGTATATCTTATCTCACTCACGGCCGTGTAAGCACCTGTGCACAGCACAACAGCTTAACAAACAGTCGAAGCAAGAAGCACGCGGCCTTCTCCTTGTTGATTGCAGAGTGCTTCTTCATCAAAGGCACATATGGTTCCACAAAGTCACAGGCTCGCCCATGCAAAGCCTCAGACATTTTGGTCAAGTCTGTGTCGACGGCCCATCGACAAGACACAAATGGCTTCCTTCCAAGGCTCTGCTCTTGCATTCTCACCACACATGGCAACCATTTCTCTGTCCCACGTCTTGGGGCTGCCTTGTTGATTTGGGCTGAAAGGCCATGAGATCGGAAAAACACTGCAAGGCTGAAAGCTCCCGCCACACTCTTGGCAACTTGCTGGTGTAGCCAGGGCACGCTCCTCCTCTTGAGACGTTTGGGCCACTGTGAGCTGCAAATGTATTGCATCCCAGTCCTAAGCTCAACGCATACACGAACACGATTCGGCATGCACCCCGTCCGGCCCCGCCCCCTCTGCATGTGCAGGCAGGCTTCCTGCGCCCGTGGGGCCCAGGGAGCTGGCAGCACACGTCCTGCGCTTGAAGCATAGCTTTTCACGACAACCCCATGACCCAGCAGAGCAAACTGGGAGAAGCCTTGGTGCGCATCCTTGGTTCTGGTGTCCAGTTGCCACCTTCGGAGGTACAAGCTTTCAACCAAGATGATCGCTCGTTTTGGGCTGCTGGCACTGAAGCCCGTGAGCTTCACACGGTGCCTGATCAGCGTCTCTCGTGACTTGGGACGGGCTTCACGATCTTCGTGGGCTTCGTCCAATGCAGCCACCTTCGGCACCACCAAACCAGGCTTGCATCTCAAACAAGACCTACATTGGACGTGTTCGTACAAGAACATAAGATTGTATAATATAGTCATACGTGCATATAAGTGTGCTTGTCTGCATGCATGTATTCACGTATGTGCACTCGCAAGGAGCTAGCTCTCGTGGCGTAAAGCAGGCCTCGGCAACGATCGCCTTGTCACGAGCTTCCTGTTTCTTGCGCAAGGCGGCCTAGGCAAAGTGGGTAAGGCTGCTCAAAAGAAGTCTTGCCAGGCTTGCCGGTTCTTGCATTTCTTACGGGAGCAAGCGATGGCCCAAACTTACTCCGTCTGTTAATCGCACGCATGTCTTTGCAAAGATCCCTTACAAGTAGTACTGGGTTCGAGTTGCACAACCAACCTAAGATCGCACAAAATCGCTTTGAAATGCCCATGTCAAACTCCATTTCGCAGGTCTGCCGTATCTTGGCAAACAGCTGTGCTTGCAAGCAACTTCATTCTTGCGAGGTAACCCACTCCACGTCCCAGTGTGAAGAGAAAACATTATTCCATAGCTCGAGGCAGTCAAGGCATCAACAGTCCCTAACGGCTCTGATATGGTGCTCGTTCAGAAAGGACGCGGTGTCAGGTGGCACATCCAACGCATCATTGGGCTTACAAAAGTACTTTCCGCGGGCATGATCTCGTTGCCGTACCTTCTTTTACAACAATCGACACATCGCTTCATGGCTTGGGCAATCTTGAGCAAAGCAGCTGCAATGGAAATGTGGAAGCGGCTGCTCGGCACTGGACTCGACGCTAACAAAGCTGCACCGTCAACGGCCTTGTCAAAGTGTCTGTAGAATGATTCCGATGCTTGAGCTGATCATAGCTGACAAGTGCACCCTTCGAACAAGAAGTGTTTCGAAAGCAGTTGCAGCTCGGACCCTGATAACGGCGCGCGTACTTCTTCGACAAATGGGGCTTGCACAGCGTCAGTATGCAAATCCGACAAAACTTGAGACTCACACTGCGGCTGGTGCAAAGTTCCCTACGTGCCTCGACCTTCGGTTCCATGGCTCAGACTAATACAACAAGACGATCATGCAGCTCGAGGCAGGAAGCCACATATTCCATCATTTTATCATCGGGACGATTCATGCAATTGCTAGTTGCAGACGGACTCCGTACTGATAATTCTTTTCAACCCCACATCGAGGTTCCCTGCAACTTGAATCTTGAGGGGTTCAGCAGTCTCAAGATGCTTGAGCACAGCAGACAAGCGACAGCTGTGAAAGCAGAAATTCGAAGAAGAGCCGAGCTGTCCTGGATCCAGTGGGCACTGCACACACACACACAAAGACGTGAGACATGCACCACATGCCATTCACTCAAACAGCGGCAGTGCAGATCAGACAGTGCAAGCACAGATGGCAATGGGAGGACGCACCGACGGCTGCTTGAGATGCAGCCCCTTTCCAGACTCCTTGCATGACGTTAGCATCAAGATGCATCAAGTAGATAGATGAACCTCTGTCATCTTGCCAAAGCGCCACTACATTCGGTCCTGCTCCCCGCGCCTTTGGCTGCTGACCTGCTCCTTCATTTGGCACGATCGCAGACGCAACACCGCACCAGTTTGCACCAGTCAGCCTCGGAACGGGGCGCCGGGGGCGCGTCCTTAGCAAGGAGGCTCTCTGCAGAGCTTCCTACTAGTAGTCCTAGTAAGCCTTAGTATCTTAGTCCGAGGTCTGCCACGAGCGCATCCAGAAGCATGGGAAGCGCCGGCGCGTCTTCTGCAAGAGTGTTGGCAATACCAATGCCGCTTATGCAACATCACCTGTCGGTGCCGTTGTGCCCTGGGAAACACACCAACTCGTAAGAAATCGAGGGGAGTATCCAGCTGGAACCGACACGGCTTCTTGCTCCCTATAGCCCAGGTTCTTGGAGGGTGGAGAAAGCACAACATCGGATCACAGCCCTTTTCCAATACTGCACCTGCATTTGAGCGGCTCGCTCCCTCCGCTTTTTGTCCGACCAGCGGCCAGTTTCCACTCATTTTGGCAAGGGGGGGGTCATTAAGGGCCCCTGTTCGTGGGACTCCTGCGTGGACTAACAACGTCGCTTCGCTTCGCACTGGGCTCGGCCAATGTGCATGGAATGATACATGTGCACGCAGCACGCCGGTGCCGTATGCTTTTGCGTTTGGTGGCGCTCGACAGTTGCACAATCCTATCTATCTCGACGGCTGGAGCGAATTCGCTCTAGCATCGCAGCAGAACAAGCTTCTGCGAATACGGGGGAAGCAACAAGTAAATTGCGAAGTGCAAGCCCCGAGGCAGCCAGAGTAGCTGAAGTAGGGCTTTTTGCTCAGCCCTGGTTTGATCATGGCGGCCACCGTGAGGCTGAGCGCCGGACGCCTCGCGCTGACGAGCCGGGCTCGCGATCGCTTGGGAAGGACCTTCGTCCGAGCAGTGCCAGTGCAGCGCTTTGAGATGTTCTGCTTGTGGTCGCTGGCTCTCAGAAATCTCCACTCAAGGATCCGGCTCCTGCCGCATTTGGCGCGTGAACACGCTGGCATGGCTGTCCTCCTGACCGCCGACCCTGGGCCGCGGCAGTGGCGTGACGCAACTCTCACATACTCTCACAAAACCTCCGTGCTGTCAGAACATGTCAGAACCTGCCCAATCCGCCTCTGCCGCCCCAGAATAGGTGGCGGTGCCTGGCACCCAGCAACTTCCAACCTCAATCTAACCTGCCACCTGACCTTCTCTCATCAAGCACGCTAGAATGTCGTGGTCCACAACGGAAACTCAATATTGTAAGGATGTAGGAGGGGGTTGATAGACAGCGCGGGAGGGGATGCAAAGGTCGGGAACAGGGAATCCCTCCGAGTCTGACCGCTTCCTCAGGGCCGATGCGAATTCCCGAACCCGTCGCAGCCGCACTTGCCTCTCCAGCAACCGGCGTTGCCGCGGGCAGCCTCACGAGTGGTGGGTGATGGCGAGCTCCTGCTGAAGTTGAATCCTTCCACGAAGATGCTTGGCCCGCCGCGGACTGCGAAACACACCGCGGCCAGCGGTACCAGGACCACCAGGACCACCAGGACCACCAGGACCTTAGAGCTGCAAGACAACGCAACACATACACATGTTTAAAACCTCATGGCTTCCGGAAGCTGCGCCCGCAACGGTGGCCAAATGTGGGCTCCTGCGTCTGCGGCCTGCACATCCGATATCCAAGCTCGTAGTTTTCGCTTTCGTTGAGCAGTCTTCGAACGGCGCTGAACGGAGAAGCCAGAAGAATGAAGTCTTCGATACGGTGCACAAGTGCAGCATGCATTGTGCGCGCATGCGCCCGCGTGCGCGTGCGTGCGTTTGTGGTCTGTCAGCTTTCCAGCCTCCGCGCGGAGGTCGTGTTCGAGCCATCGGGAACCTCAAGCGCTCCGAATCTCGGATTCGAGCTTCGAAGCCTTTTGAGAAAGCAAGCACGAAGGAAGCTGCAATAGATCGAAGCCTGCTACATCTTCCAGCTCCAAGGCCCTCACTCCTGCAGAGGCTGCCGCAGGACCTCGCTTTCGACGGTGTAACTAGGATATACTAGGACTGACTCCTGGCTCTCTTAGCAGGGCCTTCCTAAAGCAGCAAGTTCGGGATGACGGAGCTGGGTGTCCGGCCCGAGAGCTTCGGCATCGGAGGGGCCGGCGGGGCGCCACTCCACCTTGTGCTTCTGAAACAGCCGGCTATGCCAAGTCTCGTCATGGCTGGTCGAGGATCGGACTTCTCAGCCACCGGCATGGCATGGAACGACGTCCCAATCTTGGAAAACAGCAGTGGCTAAGGCGGCTAAGGCGCTTTCAGCGGCGTTCGAGCTCGATTGGGTGTCCGTTAGCCGTCGGAGACAATGACTTACAGAGGTGTTCCGACCAGAAGCCACTTCGGAACTAAACTCCCTGCGCTTTGCAACTCGTGCAGCTCGCCTTGATGATATCGGTGCGCTCTCTTGGCGGACCTCGCCCAGGCACCAGAGGAAAGTGGCAAACTTCATGAGCAGTTGTTTCGCTGTGTGGCTTCCGGGCTGGCCAAGGTTCTCTGAATACATGTCCCCTACGGCCCTATGATTTGGCCTTTGGGTTCAGGCCTTGAGCCCCTTTCAATAACAACTGCGGTAGCTGTTCTGGACCCTGTTGTCAAATAACTCGGAGTGGGCCGTCCGCGCAGTGTCAAACCACAGGGACCAGGCCTTCATCCCAGCCTCCAGGACGGCCTCTCCGCCTCGAAACTTCTGGTAGGTAAGGTCTGTTGGTTTTCTCTTTGTAGAGCCGTATGTCCTAGGCCGGCCTGTCTTTCTCAAGCTCCTGGGGCAAGCCTGGCAGAGTTTCTGGAAGATTCCCACATTTGTGGTGCTTTCTGCCGCCGGCACAGCTGAGACACGCGCGCATCGCCATGCCGCTCGATACTTTGCGTATGCCGGCAGCTGGCTCCTGCAGTAGGCAGTCACCTCGATGAATGTCCGCTACATCTCGCAATTCGCCCAGTGCAGAATCCTCTTTGCCAGTTTCGGAGTAGGAGGTCGCAGGCCTCAAGCGCAGCAGATTGAGTTCGATTCAACTGCAACTTGAAAACGACGGCGATACAACATGGCAGCTGAAGCTCAATGAATCTTTCTCACTTTTACGTGATTCCTGAAAGCTGGCAGTGTCGACTAGGAAAGCGGCTCTCGCTGCTCCTTGCTGTCTGAGGCTCCTGCAAGTCTTTGCAACACCGGTTTGCCAACACAAGCGACATGCCATTCCCTCTGTGCAGGCGCTTTCTTCCCTGCCTCTGTGCCAGGGCTCTGCCTTCTGCAACACCCAAGCAAAGGTACATCGTGGTGTGATTCGTTCCATCTGACATCATGTACACGCGTCCGATATAGTTGCGTAGACGTGGCGGCAAGTGATGTACACCATGGTTGGCGGCGAAGCTTGGTTCAGGCATTGAACGTCTTATCGACTGAGTGGCCAACGAAGGTCGCGGTCGCCTCCACGAAGTGCGCTAGTGCAAGTCAACCCACAAAAGCGTTACAGCATGTCACGGTTCCAAGCTGTGCACCTTGGGCATCGATTTTGGAGGAGGCGGAACAGGCCCGATCGCAATGGCCGAGGCCGTACCCTTGGGCTTCGGGCCGCCGGCCTTGGCAGTCGTGCCTTGGTATCAAAGTGTCGCAGTTGTCAGCTTGGGTTGCACTCGACTTGAGTCGTCCCACCTGCAGTGCACGGAGCAATCTCCAAGCTTGGCGGCGGTGCTGTGATCTGTGCCTGTCGCGTTGGATCCATCGGCTCGGAAGCGTTGCATCGGCTCTATGCTCACTCAGCCGGCTTTGACAGGCGCTCGTGGAGGCGGTGCCATCATCGGGTGGGCAGGAACCTGCATTCATGACGAAAAACTTCGGGCATGCCTCCTGCACACATGCAACACCAGCCTCGGCTGTCGGGGCACCTGCGCCCACAGCACTACCGAACTCGACTCGACTGGATCGTGCGACAATAAGTCAACACATGAGACAGCGAATGACAGCATCATGCAGCCGGCAAGACATAACAGACCTAAACGCTCCCGGTCGCCTGGCATTCCGAATTTCGGCGCTTCCTGTGGAAGCCGCCCACCCGCCTGCTCAGGAGGCACAAGCACAAGCGACAATTGCAGACAACTTGTAGGGCAGTAGTTCGGCAATGAAAAGGCCTGGACCGGCGAGTGCTGCACCTGGCCTTGCTGGTGCTGTTGCTGCCGCTGCGGCAACTTTTGATGTTGATGCTGCTGCGCCTGCTGTTGGTGGTGCTGCTGTTGTAGCTGCTGATGTTGCTGATGTTGCTGCTGTTGCTGCTGTTGCTGCTGTTGCTGCTGCTGTTGCTGCTGCTGCTGCTGCTGCTGCTGCTGCTGTGGCTGAGGTTGAGGTTGTTGCTGTTGCATTAGATTTGTCTGCTGGGCCTGCTGCACATTTGCCTGCTGCATGTGCGCTTGCTGCAGATGCGCCATCTGCATTTGCTGCATCTGCGCCTGCTGCAGCTGCTGCATGAGTGCCTGCAAGCAAATCAATCTTCTGGTGCAGTCTTTAGGCTCGAGCTCAACCACCAATGCGAATGCAAACTCGGTAAGACTTGCTGGACTCTCGATCATGCTGTGACCCTATGCGATCTGGTGAACAAATCTGCTTCCACAAGCCGAGAAGTTCGAAGGCCGGGAAGGCTCCAGTCGCTTGCTTCCACGCAGTCGGAAGCTCGAGCGGCACAACGATTTGGGACACGCTTGTCTTGATGTCAGCTGCTTGTGATGTAGGCGCAGAAGACATTAGGAACCGGGGGCGGGCATGACAACCTTACACCTAGACGGAAGCAAGTTATAGTTCTAGCAGGAAGCCATCCAGCGCTCTGAGAGGTATACTTCGATACTGCGGCTTTCGAACAGGACCTACATACATCATGGCGTATCGACGGCTTGCAGATTCTGATGCTTTCAGAAAGCTGCGCAGTCAGACAATGCCAACAACCGCACAGCGACACTGAGCGACCAGGCCTGTTGCTGCATCTGGTGCTGCATTTGTGCTTCTTGCATGTGCTGCATCTGCAGCTGGGCCATTTGGACCAGCTGCTCTTGCTGCTGAGTTTGCTGTGGCTGTGGCGGCGGCGGTGGAGGTGGTGACGGCTGGTTCAGGCCTTGCTGTTGTGCGTGCATGTGCTGGTGCTGGTCCGTGCCTTGCGCGCCCGTTTGTGCTGTGGCTGTGGCTCGAGGCTCATGCATCTCTTGCGCTCGTTGCGCCTGCAGTGCTTGAGCCCCAGAGGCACCCATCTCTTTGGCGGCAGCTTGCCTGTGGCAGTATTCTCAACTTGCTGGACGTTTCATGAGAGTTGCCGTGCCGTGCTAATTGGAGACAGGCCGCTCCAAAACAACACGCTGCTCTTGAAAATGTTGGAGCTCCGACTGCAACCTCGGCTTCCGACCAAGCTTTCCATCACCGACTGTCGTCTCTGTTTCACAGAACAGTTGTTGTAAATAGGCAGGTTACAGGCCCTGCCCACGGCGAAACAGGAGGCAGATAGCGGGAGCGAGCAGCAGCAGCGGGAACCCAACAAAGCCTATGGTCTGCAACAGCAAGACGAGCATTAGGAGCCTGGGATGCTACGAATCACGCATACCAAATTGTCCTCACTTCTTTCACCTAGAAGACTGAAGCTGGATATATCTTCAGGAGTGTCGCTGCTGCTCCATCAGGGCCGAGGTTGAAGACGCGTGGCTTGCAGCCGAGGCGCTGCGCCAACAGGTTCCGCTCTGAAACTGGCAACGTGGAGAGGTCCTGAGCAAGTACATTGCAAAGGAAAAAGTCGGGCAAGGGCTCCGGCACCTGGTTCTTGAAGTGCTCCAGCATGTTTTGACGCAGCTGAATCTCCTGGCCAGCGAAGCAGATGCTGAGCTGCTCTTCGCTGCTGAGCTGCGTCCTGAGCCACCCTCTGCAGCTTCTCTTGCAGCTCCTGCGAGAGGGCCTCGGTAAGGAGCGCAGCTCCGCGGCTCCGCAGCTCCGGGGGGCCCGGCCTCTGCCTGCTTCTGCTGCACCTGCTTCATCCTGAAAGCCGAACAGAGAGAAGACGGACGAGTCTAGGAGTCTAGGCTTAGGAAGGTGAAGGTTGGGAATCGGTTGGCACCCTCTGCTTCCGAGTGTCTGCTGCTCGATGAATGCTTTCTGCTGCTCTGGGTTCAATGCGACCTGATGCAGGGCTGCAACCAGCCATCCAAAAAACACGAAGCAGTCTTTCTGACGAAGCACTGCAAGCCGCCAGCATCTTCAGTTCTGCCCCATCCCACGACGAACCCACGTTAGCCCCGGAGTGGCGCCCAAGCGGACCTTCGGCTTGGCCTTGGGCTCTGCCTTCGCCTCGGCCTTGGACGCCTGAACCCCATAGACATGCAGACATGCAGACTGCTAGGAAACGATCCTAATGGACACATGCACGACATGCTTCGAGAGGGCCTGGGCCACCAGAGATGCTGCAGGTGACGAGGCAGAAAGCTGTACATTCTTGGCCTTCCTGCGTCGGGCTCACTTCAACTCTCAGGCAGTCAAACCCCACTCAAACTTGTGCCGGAGACGTTGCATCTTTTCCGCCAACTGTGCCCTGTACTGCCGGTGCAGTGCAGCTCACTATAGAGTAGTAACTCGTGACGTCAGGAAATCTCCAAAGAAGTCCTGTGCCCCGGATACAATACCACATGCCCTTTGCAGCGAGACTTGAGATTGACGAACGCGAACTAATCCGTTGATCCCACGCCACCTGTACCGTGTCTCTGACTGCTACGCTACATTCCCCGTCCGGTGGGGGGCTTGGCATCCTCACCGCGATTTGAACCCGTACCTTACATTGCAGTGTGAATCAAAGATGCCTTCAAAACGTGTAGTGGTCGTAAGGTGCACGCTTCTTCCGCTCGTAGAACAGATCTGTCCGCGCAGTGCCGAGGTTGACAATCTTGGGGCATCCATCTCGATCCTGCAAAGCCGTCCGGCGGGCGCATTTTCGAAGTTGGCAGCTGCCGACTCGGCGGGACTCGGGAGCCCTGCCTTCTCGCATTGGCAGCACTCCTGCAACTCAGTTATGACCAGTGCGAAACATCGTATCTTGGCCGGTTGAAGTGCTTTGGAGCTGGAGAGATGCTGTGTTTGAGAGCCACGAGGAGACACGTGAGCGGACCACGGCCAAACCGAAAACCTTGACGACGGCCCAAGCCCCCTGTGCTGGGTCCGGAGAGCTACACTAGCTGCACCAGCTCAGCCCTGACATAGGGAACTTAGGGAATTTTCTGCACATCATGTTGCTGCAACATCCTTGCAGTAGAAAGCATCGGAGATGCCAGCGCCACCGCAGATGACACAGCGACCCTGGTAGCTTCCTGCGGAGCTTCACACAGGCTCCTGACTGCGATTGAACGGGAGGCAGGGGCGCACCGTAGTTGCACTCGTCACAAACTCGAGCAAGCTGGCTAGGTCTCACCTGATCAAGTTCATCCAAAAAGCACCTCTTAAGAGCCGCATGTTTTTGTAATTGAGCCAGGCGCATATGAGTCACAGATCACGCATTTACCATCACATTTCTCACACAAGCGGCCTGAGCGAGCAGCACTGCATAACACTGCATAGCACTGCAGCAACTCAGCCTCTGCTCAGCCCGGTGCCAATGGCGATACCGCATTGCTTTCGACACATGATAAGATCAGGATGATGCTTCGCCATGCCTGGGCGGCCGATTGCTTTGAGTTGAACGGGCAACCACGGCGATGCATCGGGCCTTACAGGCTCCACAGAGCGCTGAAGCCGAGATTCCCGAGGCCCCCCTCAAAACTTCCTGACTCCGCGAAAGCTCGAGCCCAGACAACACGCAGAGGACAAGCGGCTACTCTCTGGGAGCACCTGCCACTTATGAGTCCTACGCGTCCAGTCCCGCTGCTATTATGACCGATGGGCATGCCAGAACTGATCGGGCGTCGTCTTGAACACTGGCTCTAGCAGTAGCGTCTGGAAGCTTCAGATAGCACAGTACTGTGCACAGAGCAGAGCCCAGCAGAGCAAGGCTGGCGCACCCCGCAGATGCTGCAACCTCCCGTGCCTCGAGACAAAGGCTACAGCAGCTACCACTGTAGCACTACTGCATGCTGCGACAATGCCGAACTTGCCGCAACGCATCGCAACGCAACCCTCGGCTCAGGAGCCTTGTTCACGCCCTCGATGAACTTTTTGAAATACGTAGTCAGTGCCGCCTCTGCACCATTTGGCCAGAAGACAGAAGAGGAAACATGTCTGCACCACCTCTTTGAGGTCATCTCGATGGCCCTTCCACAACAGTAGGAAGGCTGCCGGATCTTGATCGGAGGCCTCCCAACGCTCCACCTGCACAGTCCATGTCTGGCACAAGTACACAGCCTGAAACAGCAGAAACTAAGGCCTAGCGCCTAAGGTGGCGCCTGGACTCCAAGGATGGACTCCTGCTGTTGCTCGATGATGGCTCTCGCAGCTGATGCCTGGTCCGGCATGACATGGTTTCTCAAGACGCACTGCCGCATAATGGCCGCACGCAACTACATGCCTCGTTCAATGTGATGAAAGCCATCGGATGCGTCTTGTGCCGCTCCACTCGCAGCAGCTCCACCTCTCTTTTGCACTCGCGCACTTGGAGACATGTCAAAACCATAGCCACAGTCTGTTGCACCTTGGTGTCCGGTATGACGGTGAGCCTAAGATTCTTTCCAGAAAGGCTCCATCGCAGCTTCTTCGAGTTGTGCTGCCGCGAGACGGGGAAGCAGATTGCGTGGCGGCAGTCGGTGCCTGCATTTGTTCCAGGGCCACGCCACTCAAGGCTTGACGACTCCGCATGTCCTGCAAACCTGTAAACAAATGACACTGCACTTAGCACTTGACACAGCTCTCCGCAGTGCCTTCGTCGCCTTCGCCTGTGCATCATCCTTCAGAGCAAGTCCTTGATTGCTGACTTTGGCGGCCTCTGTTGGCTCCACCTTGTGGGAAGCATCCCTAGTGGGACTGTTGCCATCCAGGGTGGCAGAGGATGGCACCTTTTCTGAAGCATCTTGTTTCACACCAGCCGTCACCTTAGAGTCCAGCTTGACAGCTTTCTCGTTCTGCTGGCGGTCAAGCTGAGGCTCGGCGTTATGCGACTGCACGCCTTGCTGTTTCGTACTGGTGACCTCGTCATGGCTTGCACCAAGAACGTCCTGTCTTGCAGCCGCCACGCTCTCGTTTTCTGCCTTGGCGGGGTTGTCTGTCTTCCTCGGACTGTTCCGGTTCGGAGCCAAGGTGTTTTCGCTCTCCATGCTGACGCAGGGTTGCTTCGCATCAAAACGAGGGTCTGTCACACCCGTCTTCCGAAAGGTGTCGTCTTGTTGCACAGGAGGAGCGCCCTCGCTTGCAAGCTTTTGCGGCGGTTGGGAACCCTGCTCGTTTCCACTTGACATGTTGTTCTTGTCAACATCTGCTTCAGGCCGCAGACGTTCAGAAGTCTGCAAGGTCTGGTCAGTGTGTGAAGCCTGCCTCGCTCCAGTTGTGCGAGGAACATCGGCAGAAGCTGGCACCCTTTGCTGCTCATCCTGTCCTGCATGTCGTTGACTAGCGTCTTCTCCCGGCTTCGAGCTGGACAGTTCATTGTGCTCTGTGCCATCGCTCACGGTCTGCGAACTGTGCTGCTTTTTGTTAGGTGACTCCTCGCGATTACTTCCAGCAGAGGCGTCTTGCTTCGGGGCAGCTGCCCCGTGCTCCTTCAGCTGCTCTGGCGTCTGCGCTTGCTGCACACCATGTGGCTTCGCACCTGATGTGCTCTCACGATCCACCGCAGCCTGGCCGATGGAAGCGTTGCTGCCGGTATCCAGGTTGGGTGGGTCCTTGTCAGTCGTGCATGACTGCTGCATCCCAACCGCTGCCAAGCTAACACGAAACTCGCAGCAGAGATCGGTCTTCTTTGCCAAGACACCCTTGCGCGAAGCTCCAAACGCGCTGCAATTTTCCTTGCTTCCTCAAGAGCTGCAAGTGATGTCAGTTGCGCCGCAACCTGCGAAATCAAACGCATGCACACAACCACGATACATTACCACTTACACAGCTAATGCCGCTGGTGCTGTTGCCGCTATTGCTTCTACCAGTCCTCCCACTACCACAATCACTCCAACTGCCCCTGCCGCTACCGCTGACGCAGTCACAGCTGCTGCGACTATACTGCTACTGCTGCTTGCGACTACGGCTACAGCTACTCCAGGGATTGCGAGTACCACCACCACGACTACTGCTTCTCCTACTGCTATCGCTACTGTTACTGCTACTCTGCTGCTGCTGCTACTGCTACTGCTACTACTACTACTACTACTACTACTACTACTACTACTACTACTACTACTACTACTACTCCTACTCCTACTCCTACTACTACTACTACCACCACTACCACTACCACTACCTCTGCCACTGCCGCTGCCACCGGAGAGCCCTTATTATCCGCCCAATCCCACATCCAATGCTGGCACTCCCAGAGGCATAGGCACTCCAGGTACGGAAGCTGTGGCGCTACAGCTCAACCGTTTCAGCAATGAGCAGGGCATTGCGGGTAAGCTAGACCATCACTTCGAAGCCGATCCAGACATGCTCCTTCCTCAGTGGCCCTCATTGTCCACCAATGGATGACGTATCGGTTACATGTGATTATCCAGCATCCAGGACCAACCACGATCTCAGGTATCGGGCAGCACTCCGTCCAGGCCATGCTGACTCTCCTTCTCAGCCGTGACACTAGACATACAGATGAAGATATACCCGCCAGCTCAGTCCTCCAAACTATGCTTGAAGACACCAGCTACATACTTATTTATCGACTGAGGAGTGCTTCACCGTGCAGGACAACCGACTGAGGTTGTGTGCCACTGTGCACGGCCTGATCAACCGCCTCTGATCTCCGCAATGCGACAACGGAGTGTCCGCAGCGAGTGTGATGATGATGCCACTGCCACTGCCACTGCCACTGCCACTGCCACCGCCACCGCCACTACCACTACGACTACGACTACGACTACGACTACGACTACTACTACTACTACTACTACTACTACTACTACTACTACTACTGCTACTGCTACTGCTACTGCTACTGCTACTGCTACTGCTACTGCTATTGCTACTGCTACTGCTACTGCTACTACTACTAATACTACGACGACTACTACTACCACGACTAGCACTGCCACTGTCACTGCCGCTGCCACTGCGCTGCCACTACCGCTGCCTCTAACACTACCACTGCTACTGCTGCTGCTACTACTACTACTACTCCTACTACTACTACTACTACTACTACTACTACTACTACTACTACTACTACTACTACTACCACTATGACTCCCACTAGCCACTACCACTGCCACTACGACGACTACTACTACTACTACTACTGCTGCTCCTCCTGCTGCTGCTGCTACAGCGCAACGCTGTTCCAGTAGAAAACCGTCGTACTAGTGGTAAGACACCCCTGGCACGCATATTTTGATCATGTTGGTACTTCAACTAAGCCTGAACTGTCAACCCTCAAACACCTTCAACACCGAACCCTAATCCCTAAGCCCTGAACCCTTGTTCAGAAGTATCCACAAGCTTGCAGGTCCCCAGGTTTGGATTTGGGTTGTCAGGGTTTGATTTTTCAACCCAATGACATCCTTACTTGGTTCGTGGGTGTGCATCAGCTACCCATGACCGACTGGCACAAGAAACACCAGTATGAATGCGGTGACGACTCTTGCTCGCGCTGCTTCTGCGGCTGCAGCAGCTGAAGATGATGATGGTGATAATGAACTTGAGGTAAACATTAAGAGCAACCACGTCATAGGTTGCAAGAAGCTGTAACAAAAAAATATGCGAGGGCGCTGAAGCATTTTTGGCAGGGTGTTTAAACTTTAGGACAGCCTTCTCAGCCTGCTCGACGTAGTCTTCACTCTCTGGCGGTTTGGAAGTCAACTGCGCTGTCGAGGTGGACGCACCAGTCATTGTCGCCGCCGTGTTGACCACCGTGGTCGCCGTCGGCGTGGCAACTGGCTCTGCCTGCTCTGTAATTGTAGCTTCACCCTCCTTTCTGGGAGAATGTTCTTTCTCAGCTCTGGCTGCAATCTCCGGCACCCTGCGAAGATCATCCCGCACGGCACGGCTGGTACTGGGACTCCTCTTGCCTCGAGATGGTTGACTTCTGGATCTTCTTCGCTGCTTCCTGCTCGGAGATCTCTTACCGCTTCGAGATCTTCTCTTCATAGATCTCCGCTTTGGCGACCGCCGATTTCTGGACCTGCCGCTTCGAGACCTCCTGCATCGGTGAGTCGATCTGCGCTCTGGCGAGGTTCTCCTGTCTCTGTTGTCGCGCTTCACGCGGCTGTCCTTGTCCTTCTTGTCATCCTTCTCTAGTGTTGATTCCCTCCGCGTGCCTTCACTGGCACGTGGAGCTCGTGGAGAATCACCTCTCCTGGTCCGCCTTATTGGCGAAGGGTCACGCCGAGGTGATCGTTTATCTGCGCTTCTCGCCCGTCTCCTTGGTAGGGCTTCGTCCTTGACTCTTGCCGTGCTCCTTTCCCTCTCCCTACCGTCCCTACCGTCCCTATCGTCCCTATCGTCCCTACCAGCCTTGCGGCGTGGCAGGGGCTTTCGCGGACTGCAACTTCGGGATCGGGGCCGCGTTCTGCTTCCATCTCCTGAAGGCGGCGCGTCGCCTCGCCTGTCAGTGGCCTCGGCGGAGCTGTCAGGAGGTCGTTTGCGCGAACGCTTCTTTTTCTTGTGTTTTTTCTCTTTCTTCCGCGCCGCGGGACTACCCGAAGACTCACACCGCTTCACATCCTTCTTCTCCACGAGCTTGATTGAAACGTTCGGGGATCTTTCCGCCTCCTTGACATCGCTTTGCTGAGTCCTGCCTTCATCTTCCGCCTCCTCGCTTTCGATCTCTCCTTCCTCCGGCTCGACCTGATCTTCTGCTGGTTCCTCTTCTTGCTCCTCTTGCACCTCCTGCTCCTCCTCCTCCTCCTCCTGATCCTCCTGATCCTCCTCTTCCTGCTCCTCTGATTGCTCTTCCTGCTCCTCCTCCGACTCACCCTCCTCCGACTCATTCTCTTTCTTGTCATCAGCTTCTTCCTGTTCGCTATTCGGCCGTCCTTTCGCCTGCCCATCGGGTTTGTCGTTCTCTTCAGAGGCTTCCCCTTCTTCAATCTGCTCCTTGTCCTCCTTCTCCTTCTTCTCGCTCTTCTCCTCCTTCTGCTCGTCCTTGCTGTCTTCTCTCTCTTCGCCCCGCGGTCTCTTGTCCACTGAAAGTCCAGGATTGGCTTCAGGATCCGCTTCATCCTGATCGACACAGATTTTGCAACTCTCTTTGAGTATGTACATGATTGCTTCGGAGAGTCCTCGGATGCCTCATCAGCAAAAGCCGCAGACTGCATGGACCTGACGCTGAGTTGGCACAGCAAGTGTCCGCAAGCTGCCTGAGGATGCATCTGGCACGCTCGTCCGGCAGTTCTGGCACTGTGGACACCAGCACGGGCTCCGAGTCGCCATCCTGCACGTCGCCCAGGAAGCAAGCTTCACCAGGAAGATTTCGGAGACTTTGGGTGCCGGCCTTCAGCCTGTCCTTTCGACGGCGTTTCGTTGACTTGCCTTGGGGACAACACAGATTTGACCACATCGTCAATCGTGATTCCAGCTTGGACCACCGGCGTCGAAGTGGCTTGTGGAGGACCGCGACGAGACCTTACTAAACAGCTGGCTTATTCCAAGATGGGTCGCTGGTACAACACACTTGGAACAATGCCATACTGTACAAATTCCGCATATCTGGTTGTCCTCAAGAAGACCCCCACACACACACACACGCACACACGCACAGACACGCGCGTGCACACACACACACACACACATGCACACACGACCGGAGTGCCTCAACACCTGTGAAGCGCTGTGATGGGCCCTGTCCTTTTGCCGATAACATGGCACTCAAGGCCAGCTGCTCGCAGCGACGGAGCCAGCTCCTCCACCTTACATAAGAGTTATAGCATAGTATACTCTAATTTATGTTCGGTACTCACCAGTGCAAGCAGGTGCCTCTGGGTAGTGTCCGTCTACGAAGAAGAGGGCAGCCTAGCACAGTGACCAGGACCAAGCATCCCAATCTGTGGCATCGTTAGAGACTGAAGACTTCGGCTAATGGACTCACTCTGAGACTCTTGAAGATGCGGGTGCACTGACCCGAGGAGTCGGCCAGGCACGCCTGCTCGTGGGCTCGAAGCACCTGTCACCGGTCTCAGAACTTACGCTCCTCTCACATCCGATCTGAGAATCTGAAGAGTCGAAACAGAACCCGACTTCTTTTTGGATTGTTCTGCCAACAAGCCTCTCGCCCTCTTGGCGCTCAATGGGCTGGAACATTCGCCCCGGGAAGAATGTCCCGGACACCGATCTAAGGGATATGCACCGACCAGATGGCAATAACCCAACGATGGCCGAACCATGCAGGCACCGAATTGCAGACATATCACCCGCCTCACCTGCAAACAGATCGAATGTGATCACCTCGCTTGGAACAGCGCGGCGAGCACATGCTTGCACTGTTTGTGGGAGGCTTGGGGGTGGCACGAGCAACGTGCCCCTCTGAAAGCATCTATATCTTCGGCAATGCTTGGGTTCTTGTCGGGAACCGAACCCAATGATCTTCGGGGCTGTCTAGGTTTTTGTTGGGCACCGAACGCTCAGAGTTGGATGAAGTGGAGCGCAAAGCCGAGACCTGACCATGTCCCGGCCACAGTTTGCGAAACTCTTGGCACAGCAACGATGGATGCTACAAGATGCGGCGACCTGTGGCTACGCTGCAACTTCGTCTTTGATGCTCATGGTCGGATTACGGGCGTAAACAAAACCCCTGACCTGCCTTCAATACTCCAAGTTCAAGCTTCGCTCTCGACGTCAAGTTTCTCAATGTCCAGATGGACCGACTTCGCGGAGCTTCCAAAGCACACGGCACAGTTTGGCGAGAAGCCAGACCTCAGTACAAAGACATCGGGCTTGAAGCCATGTACCGTAATGCACGGGACACTGTGTTGTACCTGTCACATGCCGCGTATACGGAGTCAAGAGGACTACAACTGCTGAGCAGTTGGATCATGCCAGCTGTACTGTACAGCCTTGCGGCGTGGGAGAGGAAAAGCCGCAGGAAAAGCTGTGATACAGATCGTGCTTTCAGCCAGGTCCTGTCTCATACGGTGGTTGACACTCTGAAGCATGAAACCACAATTCTCTCCGGCAGAATTCTGAGCAGGTGGGCATTGTTGCAGCTCCCCGTGTCAACTACAAAATGACACTGAATTAAGCATTGTTATCGCAGACCCATGCAGCGAAGACAGTAGCCGCGAGTCCCCATTTCCAAGACTAGGCTGCTCATCGCGATGTGTGAGCATGTACGTAGCTGGGAGCTGGCGGCTCCTCTTCAACAAGGCCGACAACCCACTGCTCTGAGCTAGGTTGTCAGGCGAATTCAACTTGAACCGCGGAGAACTCGGCAGACTCGGACTGCGGAGCGCGCAAGGCCCGCTGCCCTCAGCCAGCCAGGGAGGAGCAGCTTCCATCAGAGGTAGAAGCATTGGCCACGGAGTCTTCGCTGAGGATGCCCTGAAAGTTTGCAAGCAATGCAAGCATCTCCCAAGACTTCCCAAGAGAACTGTGGGTGTAGGTTCGTGGCCTTCCTTCCCCGTCTCCTTTGGTAGAGAGGGGACTTGTCCGGAACTCGGCAGGTTCAGAGAGCTCGCTGCCAAGGCATGCATGCTACTGCGCTTCAGAGACATTCGGAAATAACTTAGGAAGCGACGCAGCATTTGATCTTCTTCAACAAAGACCTCATCCAGCGGTTGAGCACACATAGCCACACGCACTCAAATCAATGCGCAATAAGTTGCTGCCAGGTCACGCGCCGCTTCTCCTTAAGATCCACTGGCAACACTGGAGGCAGAATGGTCCTCTGCTGCAAACTCTGCGCTGCGAAGAGTGCTGCAAGCGGACAGTTCAATTCTGCTGCTTCAAGCCTGCTTGGAAGACAATCTTCGGTCTTGGGCTGGGAATCCCCTTGCTCAGTTTGCCTCGACGTGGTGACAGCCACAGCGCTATAACCTGCGACGTGAATGCATGGCTGAGGTGGGCGCAACTTCTCTTCCTGACCGAGCAAGACAGGTGGGACACCTGTTCAGAAGTCTTTCAGAACGCCGACGATTCGCTGAAGTCTCCTATCGACTTCCTGCGGGAGCAGAAATTGAGCCACATTCTCACTCGGCAGGCCTGACACATCGCCAGGCGCAGACGGTGTTGATACGTGTGCTTCCTGCGGCACACCCAACGAATGCCCTTTTGACCCGCGCTCCAAGCGGTGAGCGCCTCGACAGCTGCAACCTCACGTGAGATTTGCTTTGAACTTGGTGCGAGCTGGTGAACCTGGGGAACGAAGGCTTGTCGCGCATTGACTCAATCGCTCGACTGCTCCTTGGGCACTTGCTTCTTGCACAGCTGCAGCTGAAGCCGCCTGCGCACCAGCTTGATCTGGAAAAGAGAATCGCCTGTCCAGGGACTTCCTGTGCAATCTACGCCCGAAACCCAGCACGAACTTGCTGGACATCCCACACCACCTCAGAAAGGATGAGCGGCTGCCATAGGCGACCTTGATACCTCGCTTGCTCGTGCCATGCCACACCCGGATCGCAAAAGCTTGAACGCACGCCGGGGCCACTCTGACGAGAAGGAACCAGAAGGCTGTCCGACCAAGCGTTGGACACCAACCTAAAGTGAATGCTGCAAAGAGGGCAGCCTGTATCAGCTATAATTTTTGCAACAGCAAATGCTCGCTTGATCTCCGCTCCTGCTCTCCGCATGAGCATGCCGAATGGGTCCAGCCTATGCTACTTCGATTGGCCGAGAAGCGTCTGGCCCGTCCAGATGCTGGTGCTTTCCCTGGAGCCACTAGGAACAATCGGAACGAAGACTCTAAGCCAAATGTCAGACTGTCAGACCCTGAGACCGGCACAGCTCATCGTTAAGCGTACTCGCCCTGTTATGCCAAGTTGCACCCGGACCCGGTTGAAGAAGAATGATCGATTAATGGGTGAATGTCATGATCCAACACGACATAGACTCTAAACGAAATCATCGGAGATCAGGCAGGACAAGTTGGGACACCTGGGGCCCTTTGTCCAGGAATTGGTCGTGGAGGCTCCTGTCGCGAACATGAAAAGGTCGAGAGATGTGAAACACAGCAGGTTCCAAGGGCGCCTGTGAACAACTCCAAGGAGCAAACCTCATAGCAACATGCAGCCACAAAGCCGCTCAGATTGCCAGAAAGATACGATACAGTAACCAGCTCAGCAGCTCACCGAGAACCTCCCACTGGATCGGCGACCCTCCTCTTTTGCAAGAGGAGCCTGTGGCACGAAATCACGATCAGCTCTTCATAACGCCTAGCACAGAAAGTGAAAAGCTGGATTGTCGAGCCTGCGGCAGTGACTCCAACAGCTGCTGCCACCTGCACCGCTGTGCTTGAAGGCACGACGGACCGTCCCCCCAATAGAAACTCCAAAAGCGCGGTTCATATCAGCGGGGTGCTTTTCGCTGCTGTCATGATACGGTTAATTACTTAGGGTTAGGCTCCGACGTTGAGTTTTTTGCAGGGAAACACAGCAGAAAGCGAGAGAGAGAGAGAGAGAGACAGAAACAGAATGAATTGCTCCTACATGGGCGAAGCTTCGCAGTCTTTCGCCTGGGCAAGGAAGGGCTCAGACCCTCTGTATGCAGAGCCAGACTTACAGACTGTGGAGGCAGGCAGTCCAGTGCTGCTTTGCTTGCTTGAGGTCTTGAGCCGCGAACCATCCTCTCCTCCTCTGGTGGATTTTCAGGAATGCGTGCTTGATTATTACGGTGGTGTTTGATACATGGGGATAGGGGGTTCTGCAAACCCGATAAAACTTCACTTCATGCTTGGATGCTGCAATAGGTCGAGGACGAATAGGAGCCCGACTGTCTCGTTTTGCGCACTCCGGGTCTTCCACACTCAGAACTGCGGCCAAGGCATCTGAGAGGACGGCATCTGACACCAGAAAACCACTGGGCGGAAGCAGAGCTGCAGTGAGACTGCACTGGCCGTTGCCAGTTGAACAGTCCATGCGTATATCACCGGACTCCTCCCATGACCTCAATGCTCGAGCCACAGCGAGAAGGTACTGGGTTGCCTGGCCCTCTGCCTCCATGTCTATGCCCTCGGAGGTACGTAGGCCAAGCATGACCGCTTCGAACATGGCATCCCGCAGGTTATCGCGTTGGGAGGTATCCACTTCCAACATAGACGCTGGTGCCCCAGTTTCGATCCAAGCACAGTACTCGTTCAATGCCCTCGGACGAGTTGCACGCAATCCTGCAACAAAAGAGGCAGCACCATTTCCGAACGCAGCATACGGCTTGCGCTGCCAATATGTTTGATTATGTCGTGATCTGTTACGGCTCGGACCCTGTCCAGTTGAGCGTGCATAGTTGGATATCTCATAGTGCTCAAAGCCGAGCGTCTCCAACTCGTTGTGAGCCAGGTCATAGAGTTGGGCTGCAACTTCTTCCGTCGGCCTGCCGGAGGTGCCCGGATCCGGAAACCGCCGGGCAAAATCTGTGCCCTGCTCATATTGCAAGTCATATACTGACAGGTGATCTACCCCTAATTCGCTCAATTCACGCAGCTCATACCTCAGCTGCGCCGTAGTTTGTCCAGGAACTCCACTCAGGATGTCGGCGGAAATGTTTTCAAATCCACACGTCTGCAGGAGCTGAATCGCCTCTCTCGCTTCTTTTGCGGTGTGTCCGCGACCGCATCGAGTTAAAATCTCGTCACTTAAACTCTGGATCCCAACGCTTGCTCGCACAACACCACAAGATGCCAATTGGCGGGCCTTCTCTTTGGAAAATGTTCCCGGGTCCATTTCGAAGGTGATTTCACAATCTGCGTCGAAGCCAAAGCGCTGACGCAACAAAATGAGGAGCTCTTCGAGATTGTCAGCTGGAAGGAGGGACGGTGTGCCCCCACCGAAGTACAAGCTTTGCAATGGCTGGCTCTCAAAGGGATCCTCCTTCAAGCTTCCAGAACCGCCACTCAAGATTTCTGCTTTCAAACAAGATAGATATCTGCTGACTCTCGGTCGCTCAATCGTCTGGCGAACAACGTCGATCGGGAAGTCGCAATAGTGACAGCGTTGCCGGCAAAATGGTATATGCACATAAGCCGCACGCACAGGGCACGGACGGAGCATGTCAACCGGGAAGCGTACCCTACCTGCTCTCCGCTTCGTGAATCCACGGGATCTCAGCCCTGCGCAAGCACGGCAAGCAACCATGAGAGAGCTCAGAAGCCATTGGCGGCGAGAACCGAAGCTCTGCCGGTCCGTCAGCGGGCGACCTGCAAAGCTCCTTCGGAAGCGCAGGCAAGCGAATGAGGCTGGAGCTGCCCTCGCGATCGCAGGGGGTGCAGGCTGCATGGCGCAGTACTTGCATGCGCTGAAAGCTGCTTCGGGTGCAATACATTTCAAGTCGTGCCAGAAAGTACAAGACAATATGCTGCCCTAATCCCTGGCCTTTGACTCTCATCCGCCGACGGAAGCAAGAGGGGAATGCCCCAGTCTCTCACAACCTGCTGAGCTGATCTCAGATCCGAGACCTGATCTGACAAGCGTGTTCCCTGCCTCCTCGTCAGTCAGGGAGCCTCTTGAAGCAAGGCTTTTTCGCTTGCCACGCAACACGATACCTGAGGTCCTTGGCGAATCCGATTGTAGTGTGATGCAGCGTGAATGAAATGTCTGATCAATGCTCCAAAGAACTGAAAGATCGAACATGCCCTTGGCGCCCGTGCTGCAAAAACCAGCCCTCTCCGAGCGAGATGCCCGAGCCTGGAAGCAGTTGAATATAGACAACAAAAAGAGCAAAGCACTCCCATCTCGTGGGATGCGGGCCCAGGTCGTTGCCTAAATCGCTGACATCGGCATGGTGGTCTTCGTCATACCCTGCACACACTACATGACTTTGCAGTGCATTTCGTCGCCGCGGATGGCCTGGCCTTGCAGGATTGACCACTCCTTCTTGGCCCGAACCGCTTGCAAGGCCTCCTGCTCCATGTCGGAGAGTCCAAAAACAGCGGTCCGCGAGGTACTAGTATCTGCAGGGCCTCGCGGCGGACCAAAGCAGCACCACGGCTCCTCAAGCCACTCAAGCTGGACTCAAGTGTTACACAAGAGATCTCGAGAAGAGCAGTCTACCGGCACATTTCAGGTCCTCATGTAGTCGGGCCCGGGCCGTTCAAAGCGTGGCGGATTGCTCGGATGGCTCACTTCGGGGCTCCAGCTCCGCGGGCTCCGTGGGCTCCGCGGGCTCCGTGGGCTCCGCTTCTCCGCGGCGCTCAGCGCTGCCATGCGACGCACAGCGGCGGCCGCGGCTTTTTCCAGCTGCTGCATCGGGTCGTCGGCTTCTGTTTCGGAGGAAGCTTCGCTTTCACATCTGGGACTGACCAGTGTGAAGTGTCCAGCAAAGTTGACTTTCTCTACATTGTGCCTACATGTGCCACAAGGTATCAGCGTCAACGCACCACCCACACAATCAGCATGTGAGACTATCAAGAAGTTTCGGCGAGCCGCGTAGCCGCGTTTCACATAATCCACAAACCTCGCAGCAAAGCGTTGTCGGGCTCCCTTCAGGGTCTCTGGCCAGGCTGGCCACTGACCGAGAACTTTGCGAACCTCCAAGCTCTCCACTCCATGAGCCAGGCAGAAATCAGCACTCTGCTGAAGTGGCCGCACCGGATTCTCTGGCTCGTCTCCCATAATGCAAGGTCCATAAATTTCGCCGAGAGAGTTGTCGATGAGTAGCTTCGTGCCCTTTCCAAAGCTTTTGCAAACACAAGCGGCTGTCTGAACGCAACGCAAATACGGTGATGTAATGACAACATGTAGATCCGCATCCAGCTCACCAGCGACCCTGTGCAGTCTCACTCCAAGTTCCTCGGCTTCGACGAGGCCCGTGTCACTCAGGGGTGGGTCATATGGCCAATGCTTCGAGTCCTGAGTCAAACACCATGGCATCCCGTGAAGAAGCGCACCCATATCATCTGCACGCTCGGCGTGCCGGCAGACAGCAACAAATTGCAGCGGTAGTCGCTCTTCAGCTTTGCCATGCCCTGGTGAAGTTTGCTCCATTGCATTTCATCTAGAGTCTAACAGCAGCTGAGCCAAACGGCAAGGATCAACAGTTCAGTCGGCAGCGTCTGTTCGGGCTAGGGCAGGGCAATTGATGTGCTGCATTTCAGGTTAAACCATTTCGGATTTGGGGCCGTTCGAGAAGTGACGTTGATGAAAGGGTTTGGCCGAGCGTCGCCAGCTCGCGGCCACCTGGGAAAGCAAACGAAGCTACAAACAAGTGCCCGCCCGCAGAGTTCACCTCGAAGGGCCGCCCGCTCCATTGCCAATCCCCCGCCTTCTGGCACTTCTGGCACTGCTGCAAGCTACAAGCGCAAGGCGCAGCCTGGCTGGTGAACGCTTGGAAGCCAGCCGCGCACAACAATGGAGAATGGAGTTGAGATTCGGCATTTGTAACCAAGGCCAGCGCTCGGCTGACAGGGCTCCGGGAGCATCCACGAGCTATGTTGGATGTTGCCTCTCCGAACTTACATGCTGAGAACTGGATGCGTGAAATTTGACTTGATTGGAGGCCCGTGTCAACATGTTCCGTGTTCGTCAGCCTCTGCATATATGGCATCACTGCACGAGCCTACTCAGTGTTCAGTTCCCGCATGTTCCCGCTTTGCTAGCTTCATTGTGGTTTGGTGCGAACACCCCATAGTTGGAAACGGACGGACAGGCAATTGGCCGCTATCTGAGGCAGGTGCCATCTTCGCAAATATCCGTGCCTGCGCTGCCTGTGCCCCAGAGCTGTTCGCCACATGGCCCGTGCAACTTTGCGACCCGCCAGTTCTCAGCACAGCTGCATTGCACGGGTCAGATGACTCCAATAAGGTTGGCGGAAGCATCGGGCTCAAAGCTGGGCTGCGTCGTGCTGTATCCATCCATGGCGCAGGGCGCAGAGAAGCGACTGTCGCCTAGCATTGCTGCTGGAGGACTACGGTGCTGAGCAGGTATACCAATGAAGTTGACGCGATGCTGCCTTCTCAGCCTGCAGTAGCCTGCAGCAGCAGCAGCAGCAGCAGTCACATGGTACGAAGTTGGCATGCGGTGCGCCAAGCAGCTGTCGCTTTGGTCGTAAGATCTCTGCACAGGAGCTCAGAGCCGGATCCGACTGGACTGGGTGCGCCGCGACATGCCGCGACCCCGGCCTGCTTGGCGCCAAGAGCAACAAGGCCATCACCGCCGGGGCGCAGCTGCTGCGTCAAAAATTGCAGGCAATCCTGCAAGATGCGCATGGATCCCCAAACTCCTCGCGAACCTACATCTGCATACATCTGCACAGATGCTGATGCTTCCTCCTCAACACGCTGCCCGGCCTCGATTACGCGAGAGCACGGACGCAAGAAATGAAATGGACGGTTGTCTGCTCTTTGGGCCCCGGCGGTCATCAGACTCACGCCATGGCTGCAGAAACCGCTGCTCTTTGTATGAGCACGGAGAATGACTCTAACACCGCCCAACACGTTGCCCCCAAGATAAGAAACGGAACAGTGTGACTGGGCTCAAAATGGCACAAGCCTCTACAATTACACAGCACCACCTTGTAAACGTCTTCTGAGTCTTCTCATTGTTCGGCCGATTTCCCCTACATGCAGCTTTGCCCCCTGAACCCATGTGCGGCTTCGGTGCAGCATGGGGGCGAAGCAGCCTCGTGCGGTTAGATACATGTTACAAGGGATGAGTGCAACTCGAGTGTTTCGAAGCGAAAAATTGAGCGGGGTCTCGAATCTGCATCTTTGCTATGCAGGAACCGTTCATTGAAAAAAATCTTGCCTCTTCAGAAGTCTGGAAACTGCTCCCACTCAGCAATCGAGCCATGTACTCAGCATGCTGCCATGAGTGCCTAGGGGACATGCAGTGCCGGCAGAGGCCCTCACACACGGAATGGAAACAGAGCCGCTGCTATGGAGCTGTGCAAATGAGCTCCACCGACTGCAGCCCACTGATTCCGTCAACAGCAGTGCATCCTAAATCAGGACTTCTAATGCAGCTGTCATGTCTACAAGCGAAGCAGGTAGGGCGGCCGAGTCGCTGCTGGTTCCTCAGCCTTTTTGAAGGGGAGGATTGGTCACTTAATTCTGCTGCACACTATTGACTAGATCAATCCTTCTCGCTGCTCCGACAAGCAAGCATCTTCCGCATCTGCAATACATCTCTTAAGAGCAGCTGGGAAGGCTTCCATATACATTAAACAATAAGCCACTGCTCCTGGCACGGAGAGAGGCAGCAGGCTGCTGTTCCGTACGAGCCTGGCGCCAAGTCGCACGAGGGCCGTAACTTGGAACCACTTGCCTTTTGGTAGGTCTAAAACAATCAGCCAATGATGAAGCTCTTGAAGCGCTGTCCGATGGTGCCAGTAGCAGCTGAAGTGCCGCGAGAAGAGAAACGAGAGCGCACCTTCACAGAAGCTTTCAGACCGCAAAGAAGTAGCTTCTCGAGCTTCATGTCAATGTGATCTTGCCGGCAGCTAGCTAAAGGTGTACGGTAGTCGGGACCACAGCTCGCGGACCCAACCCTGCCTCTGTTCCAACCTGTCCCATCCTGTCCCTCCCGGAGCCTGCAAGCTTGCCCGGCTTTCGAATTTCGCCGCAACTCCTTTTCGCGATGCTACCACCCAGCTCATGGCCTGAGCTCGACGTTCAAAGGTCAGCTCATTCGTGTCCAGACCCTGAGGCCGAAGCCTGGAAGACAGTCAATGCCGCTGCTGTGATCGGGTTCAGCTCCGTCAAGAACCTGACACTACCAAAACCAGATGCAGCCTTCGCTCGAAGCTGCCAGGTGCTGTTGAGCGTCGTGATAACACCTGCAATTGCAATGGCAACGGCCGAGTTGAAGGGCAGCAAGGCACCTGCACAAGGCGAAGTCGACGGCATGAACCACAAACACAGGTAGCAGCACATCTCAAGTTTGAAAGCCAGTGCCTTGCTGCTCTGCCCGATTCGCAAAGGCTTCACAAAGGGACGCAGCACGCCTTGCACGAGAAGAACCCGCTGTTAACTGCTGTTGTGAGGCAGAAGCTGACGTCGCACTGTGCATGTCATCTCCTACTGATCTTGTTGCCTGGTCGAGTTTAATTCAATCTCAACCTCCAGATCATCAAATTTGCCATCATCTTCAGCTATTTTCGTCGTATTCGTTGCATTTTCATCTTACAAGACGGAGAGAAGAGCAGCCAGAAGCGACAGCAGCCGGACCAGACGAACCCGGGATTGCTTGGGGGGGACATGCGACCGGTTGGAGCACGCGACTAATAAATAAACATCTAATGCCTGCCTGCATGCATCTACGTAGTCCCATATTCCTGGCCTGCATTGAAACAATACAATTAGCTGACTTAGCTATCTTGACATATCATGTCACGACGAACTACATACACCGCTGTACGGACGCAGTCATGATTCATTGCTTACTCGTAGGTCTCTGCAGTTCGTGCAGTGGTTACAGTGGTCCGACTTTGATTTATCACGAAGTCTTGGCCAGCGTGTGGCAGGTATCATTGTTTGCGGCCCCGGGTTGATACACATTCCATTGGAGTTCAGCCCCGCCATGATCCTTTTACGTACCACCCGGTGTTGATGAAAGAGGGGGGAGGGGCTGCAAAGAATTTCACGAATGCAGGATCGTCTAAATGCGCAGGACCAGGCAGCAACTCTAGTTGCAAAGCCCAGGTTGTGGACCGCGGTGAGCACGGTGCAGTGGGCGTGGGGCGCACGGTATAGGCGCGGGGAGCACCGGGGCGCGGTGAGCGCGGTGGGCGCGGTGAGCGCGACGGGCGTGCAGCATGGCGTGAGCGCGGTGGGCGCGGTGAGCGCGGCGGGCGTTGAGAGCGCATGCAGGGAGCGCGGTGAATGGGGGGAGCACGGTGGGCGCGGGGAGCGCGGTACTGGGTGCATGGAGCGGAGCACGCGATGGGTGGGTGCGCAGAGCGTGGGGGTGCGTGTAAGCGTAAAAGGATCCGGGTGCAAGGTGCCAGGCTTCGGAAAGTATATAGGATCTTACAAGTGGCATGCATATCTATATTTTATACGGATACATACGGATACGGCTATTCGATTAGAGGCTCTGCAGTTCTAGTGTCATGTCTACATTGTATGGTTTGACCCCCCACCCCACCCATGGTATCACCCCACGCTCTGGCCCCCCTCCCAAACCTGTCTGCGACAACAGTCACAGGCATCAAGCTGGTCGGGGCCATGATCCTCGTGATAGTCCTCGTTTTCGGAGGATGGGATCGACATCACCTTGTCAAACCGCCAAATATCGCTGCGATTGAGATTTTTTGGTGCCACGTTTCCCGTGGGAGGAGGGGGATAAGGGGGAGGGGGGGTTTGCTAATCCATACTTCATCCTCTGATAATCACTGTAGGGGAAGTGCAAACCCTCTTGTAATCCATGCCTTTTCCAGAGATACATACGCGCACATAATCCCTCTCCCTTACCGTAGTTGGCGTCATCTTCTAAGATAATCCTGAGCTAATCCCCGGACCACCCACCCTAAATCCCAGCCCTCTAAGGGGATCCTAGGATAATCCTAGGCAAATCCTCGGCTAATCCTCGGTTAATCCTCGGCTGATCCTAGGCTGATCCTGGGCAAATCCTAGCTAATCCGGGACCACCCACCCTAAATCCCAGCCCTCTAAGGGGATCCTAGGATAATCCTAGGCAAATCCTCGGCTAATCCTCGGTTAATCCTCGGCTGATCCTAGGCTGATCCTGGGCAAATCCTAGCTAATCCGGGACCACCCACCCTAAATCCCAGCCCTCTAAGGGGATCCTAGGATAATCCTAGGCAAATCCTCGGCTAATCCTCGGTTAATCCTCGGCTGATCCTAGGCTGATCCTGGGCAAATCCTAGCTAATCCGGGACCACCCACCCTAAATCCCAGCCCTCTAAGGGGATCCTAGGATAATCCTAGGCAAATCCTCGGCTAATCCTCGGTTAATCCTCGGCTGATCCTAGGCTGATCCTGGGCAAATCCTAGCTAATCCGGGACCACCCACCCTAAATCCCAGCC